TACATCGTTTTTTAAAATTAAAAAAAAAAGCATAATATCTATTGCTTTGTTGTTTTATTTTTTATGGTAAAAAAAGTGTTGGCACAAGAAAACAGGAAGAAAATAATTGAGGGAGTCTTTTTTTTTCCTTTCTCTTTTTCTCTGCATAGAAGAAGGCACAGTAATCCTGACCGTTTAAATACTAGGAAATATAAGGCAAGAAAAAGAGTGTCTAGCTCCATCTTAAGGATTTTATTAAGGAAGATAAAAATCTTTGTGATCTTATAAAAGAGAAAACCTAGTTAAATAGAAAAGGTCCGAATATTTTATTGAGGAAATTATTGTTAAACATAACGCGCGATCGACTTCATTTAGGTAAAAGCATACAAGTACTGCATTATGAAGTTTAATCACTAGGGGTATCCTATTTTACTTTTCACACGCTCCTTGATAATTTCTGTACTTTGATCTTCTTCAATTCATCCGATCCGACGGCCGAAAATTAAAAAAGTGTGAGAAGTAAAATGGAGTGTGTGGATATCACACCCTAATCACTAATCAACGTCCAATGAGCTTTGCATGGTACAAATTACTAAATCAAAAAACCAACGACGTTAGGATATAAAGCGATTAAAAAGGCTAAATGGATTGATAATCTGTACGTGACAATGTTCAAGGATTAACAGCTTTCACTTCTTTTCTTTTCGGTCCAAAAGGGGAGTGCAGGGTTTGTGACAATTAAAGCATCTTAAACTGACATATATCAAGTTAATTAGTGGGAGTTTAATGTGCTTTTTGTTTTTGTTTATTTTAAGCTTTGGAGAGCTTAACTAATAAGTTAAGTCGAGACTCGAGAGTGATAGGAAGAAAACTCAGTCGTATTATTTAATAGTAAGCAATTAAAGACTAACCCAGAAAATAAAAAATGATCAGACGTGGTAAAGTTGTATTAAGAGAGTAAAGACGATAATAATAATAATTTGCGGAAAAAAAAAGTTGGACTTGCAAAAGTAAATAAAAGCAGAAGCAGATCGTCGGGAGGTGGCCGAAGGATCGCTCAAATGTTCCATCTTTAGAAAAAGGAGTTCGAATCTGTGGGGAACATCTGATGGGTGCAGGAACCAAGGGGCACAGGCTTACAGATATGTATAGCCTCTGAAGAAAAAGAAGGAAAAATAAAAAAGAAAGAGAAATGGTGAGCCTTTGCAAGCCACACAAATCTTTTGCTTCTTTTTTGCTCGAAATTTACCCATTGTTTATTTTCATCATGATGAGGCATTGGGTATCACGTGTAATTGTCCTTTTGCTTCATTCGAGTTCCCTCCTTTCGTTCTGTGGATAATGTTGGATAAATTAAATTTATAATTTAAATTTTATAAGTTAAATGATATAGAAGTTACAATGTTGGATAGATTAAATTTATAATTTAAATTTTACAAGTTAAATGATATAGAAGTTGTTAATTGAATTATTATTTCATTATTGATTAATGTGTTTATTTTTATTGACACACATCATTTAGTTTGAAATTTTTTTACAGTATTTATTGGATATTTAAAGAGGTCGCACTTGGTGCGATGACAAGTGTCTTCGCCCATGAGCGGTAGGTCTCGGGTTCGAGACTTGAGAGCAACCTCTCCATAAATGGGGATAAGGCTAGCCAACATTCACCTCTCCCAGACCCTGGGTAAAACGGAAGTCTTGTGCACTGGGTACGACCTATTTACTGGATATTTAGAGTTATTTAATTGGTAGATTTTTATTTAAAAATACAAAAGTCATAATTTAATGATTAAAAAGTCTGAAGCACTTTTGTTTAGGAGGAAATAAGATTTAAATTAAAGAGAAACCTCTGTGACACCTAAGGTTTTGAGAATCATACAAGAGATCGTTTTTTGCTTGGGGAGGAACACACCCTTCCAAACATATAAATTAGTATAGTTATGCCCAAGGAAAGTGATAGCATTTGCTGTGGAGTTTGCTTCCCTATAATTATGATTCCATTCTACTAGCTCGAAAGATAAGGCAATCCATATAATTTCCTCAATAATGGTCCTAATTCTGCACGATACTGTACACTTTCTTGAAACTGCATCGATGACAATCTTCTAGTCCCCGTCTACCACAATTTTCCTGAATTGACGATGGTTGGCAAAAGCTAGAACTTCCACCATGGTGATCGTGTTTGCCCTAAGATGACAAGCCTCGCCAAAGAGGGTAGCCCTTGATGATTTATGATAATAAAACCCTCTGCAGCAGAAGAACCCTCCACTAACCCATCAAAATTAAGTTTATCAAAGCCTTCTGCATGAGGCTTCCAATTTGGTGTTGACTGAGATCTTACTCGTGCTTGGTTCCTGTTTCATAATAGCATTCAAGAAATCTTTGCCAATTGAAGCCGCTACCATGAGACAACGAGTTAGATAAAGTTTAATCTGTTTAAAAACAAAATTAATTATATCATTCTACATTTGCCAACAAAGAATTAGTATTTTAATAATATCATAAAGATCATCTTTATCTAAAGTTGACATCCCTATTAACCAATCATTCATTTTGGTAATAAGGGGGTGGAGACAGATTATTACAAAGTTTCCAAACTTCTTGAGCATAAGTATAGTAAACAAAATGGTGTAGTTGATCCTCCTCTACAATATTGCATAAGGGACAAAGAGTTAGACCATTTGGGTAATACTTAATCTTCTATACGCGGACAATCTATTTCTTATAAGCAACCAAAGCAAAAAACTTAATTTTATGAGGTATATTAAGTTTCCACACTTTCCTTAGTAAATCTTTGAAAGGTTTAATGTGAGCATCATTAATTTGATCCAAGTAGCGGATTTAATTGAGTAATTTCCATTAGTAGACGGTCCCGAGATAAACTCATTGTCATTTAATGGCATAAGGAAGGCAAAAAATTTATTTGCCACATTGTAAAGTCTAGTCTTAAGTATTTGGCTTTCCATGTCAAATATTGTATTTGTGTACCACATGCTTAATTTAGTTTTAAACTACATTCTCTGATTATGGGGTATTGCTGCTGGGATTAAACGTTCAAGGATGTGGCTCACTTCACTTCAGAAAGTTTGATCATATTTGTGCATTTCATGTCTATATTGCTCGCTGCTTTCCAGCTGGCTGGGCACGCAAATTAAGAGTTGCCCACATAGGCTTCCTGACAGCTTTCAGCTGATGGTCATATCTCAGTCCTTAATCTTTTTTTATTAGCTTGTAGTACGACAAGTGTCCTTGGTAAGTGAAAAACAAATTGATGCCTTTGGGTTAAGATCCCTTAGCTAGGGTTGTTTGTTTTTGGAGGTTTAGAATTTATTTGAGAGAGAGAGTGCTTTCAAAGCTTTGAGCTTGCCTCTTCTTTATTTATGGAACTCTAGTTGCAAAACCAACTTTATGCATTAAACACTCAATCAGTGTATATTAGGGTTGCATTGTTTTAAGGTTTTGCATTAGGTTCTTGGTCTGGTTTTAAGCTTTAAATCCATTTTTAGACCAAGTTTTTAGATTCAAGTTAGGTTTTTCCTTCAACTGTTTGACTGGAGAATCTGACTAGTCGTTTGAATTTCAATTTTATATGCATATCATAACATCTTATCATTTCGTGATTTGAGTTGATATCGGTACCACAAAGTGAATAGCTCAGGAGGAGCTGCCACTTAGTGAAGACCAAAGGAGTTCATCTCGTGTAAAGTAAGGTTGCACAAAGGTAAAACTGCTCCGTAGATAGGGATCTAGGAATTGAGCTTGTGTAGTCTTTGTAAGAATCTTGTTTGCATTAGTGAATTAGACTCATTGGATAGTCCCCAGTTTTTTAACACAGAGGTGAATTTTTCTAACCAAAAACATCCCGTGCAATTTATCGCTTTTCAAGTTTATTTATCTTACTCTTTGCTTGTGATATATGTTCATCATTATTGGCAAATAGATAAGTCTATGCAACTAAGATTGTCAGAGTTAAAATGTGCATTAAATTAGATCTTAGTTAACTAGGAACACTTTAGTAAACTGAGCCTTGAATTAACTATTTCCGTTGTGAGTAGATTAAAATATCTGATCTTAGTTGACGAGTGTTGCTAACTAGTCAGACAAGTACGTATATAGATTTTAAATTGCAGGTTATTCCATATGGTACAAATTTCAATTGGTATCAGAACTTTGCTCTAGATATACTTTGAGTGATCTTTGGGAGCTACTGGTAGTGGGTGGAATCTCACCATGGATTGTGATTGTGTTGTGGGATCTCGTAACTCTCCTCCATTATTTGATAGTACAAATTATGCCGCTTGGAACGAGAAGTTTCAAATCTTTTTTGAAGCTCAAGATCTCATTGCTGTTGATTATCTCACCCTTGAGTGGAAGGCTCCATCAAGGCTATTCGATGAAGAGTCTGTGATTAAGCCAAAAGGTGAATTGACTTAAATGGAAATTGCTTTGGCCATGGCTAATAGGAAAGCAAAGAATGCTATTATTTCTGCCATTTCGTCTAATCAGTTTACTCATGTTCAATATTGCACAACCGCTAAGCAAACTTGAGACAAATTCCTAATTCTTCATGAGGGTGATAAACAAGTGAGAGAAATAAAGCTCTATATGACTCTTTCAAAATTTGAGAATTTGAGAATGCTCAAATCTAAAACCTTCTCCGTCTTCTATGAGAAAGTTAAAATGTTGACAAATGAAGCCTTAAGATTAGAAAAACTTATTGCTGAAAAAATTGTTCAAAAGATTTTGATCTGAGAATCTAATTTCCGGCAAGAGAAAAGAAGTGCTAAGCAACAATCCCTGACCGTGGTCCCCACAAGCGATACCGCAAAATCCTAGATCTGAACCGTAAATTCACACCCTCGCGAAGAAGCTACTAGAACTTCTCTTCACGTTGACCGTCGCATACCTTTCCACGTGGCACCACATGAATCGCGGTTCATCGACCCCATCACAAGATACGCGTAGACGATCATAACCAGCTCGCCGCCCGCACTCAGCAGGGAGAGGCCACATTCGGAACCTTCTCTGTCTATAAATACACGCAAGTGTCGGCTTTATAAATCTCTCTATCTTTCTCTCTCCTCTCTCTTTCTCTCTCTACACCGTCGCGTGAGAGCTCCACCGCCAATTCATGGCGGCGACGCAGGCGAGTCTTCTCCTCCAGAAACAGCTCAAGGGTATTTAGAAAGATTTCAATTCAGTCAATTTGTATTTATTCCGATTGTTGATTGGTTTACCGGATTGGGTTTTCTTCGACCTGTTTGATTTTTGACCGATTCTGATTCTTTAATGTTGTTTTGGCAGATCTTTGCAAGAACCCGGTCGATGGATTCTCGGCCGGTCTGGTCGATGAAAACAATATCTTTGAGTGGAGCGTCACGATTATCGGACCGCCTGATACGCTCTAGTAAGTGCCTTTTCGGATTCGTTTCCGGCTCAATTTTGTGGCTTTATTGATTGGGTTTTGTGGTTTAGCTCTTGTGCACAATAAGATAGTCGATTTCAGTGTTTTTATTATGTTTTTATGCTGGATTGGATCAAAGGTGATTGAAATTCTTGGACTTTCAATTTGATTGTGGTTTCCCTAAATTTTGTGTTTGACTTTTAGTTGAGGTGACGGATTTAGGGGTTTTTGTCCAATGATGGTGGTACGAGCTCGGGAAATTGTTTTATTTCAACTTAGAATTTGTTAAAGTTTCATAGTTAAAAAAAAGTTGTGTAGTTTACATTATCTCGAATAGCAACCTATTTTGTTGGTTTGTTTTATTACTAGTATGGATGAGAATATCGTCCTCTGTTTTCACTCGTAAGCAAAGCATTAATTTAAGAAGTTTCCGCTCACTTGAGATTTATTGTGTCCATATCATATTTTTCACCATGCATCGTCCTATTGAAGCTCATCACTGCATGTTATCTAATTGCAGTGAGGGGGGGTTTTTCAATGCCATCATGAGCTTTCCAAATAATTATCCGAACAGCCCTCCGACGGTTAAGTTTACTTCAGAGATATGGCATCCAAATGGTTGGTTTCTGTCCTAAGTTTTGGATAATTTGCACTTGTTTTCCGAGTACTGATCTTGGCTATTTTACATGTGAAGTTTATACTGATGGGCGTGTTTGCATATCTATTCTTCACCCCCCTGGTGAGGACCCAAATGGTTATGAGCTTGCAAGTGAGCGCTGGACGCCTGTCCATACGGTATGGAATTAATTTAAAATAGTGTCCGCACATTGCTTCATTTGTAGGAAAGAGAATATTTGTTGCCATGTTAGCAATTCTTGATTCAAAGATTGTCTTCACAATGTTCACATTGATACCTATGATCTCGTTCCTTGTGTAGATAGCTTGTTCGGAGGTGGATGAGGAATTTTCAGTTTTTCCGTATGCTAGTATGAAAAAATAGACAAAAATTGAAAAATAAAATTGAATAAAGTATCTAAGAGTCCCTTGTTTAGCCAGTACAAATTGGACAAGGAACTCTTTGTATATCTAGTAAAAATATGCCATAGGTATGCTTTAGAAAACAAAACTAAAGGAATGTTAAATATGTATTTAAGCCAAAGTAATCATATAACAGATGATATAATAGTAATTTGAGACAAATTTGATCGTACCCAGTGCACAAGGCTCCCGCTTTACGCAGGGTCTGGATCAATGACTCATAATTCCATTTATTTGTGATCACTTGGTATTATTTCAGAATGCTCCTACAATTAAAAAATGAAAATTGATATGCTTGAATATTTACGTTTTGTCGCCAACAAAAAACAAAGAAGTACCCTTCTCAATGAGGAGATAACTTGTTGCATATATAAGAGCTTAGGCTTTCACCAGTGACCTTAAGCCGCACCGGGGTCGGGTCCCAGTTTGAAGTGAATCCTCGACCAGAATTTAAAACAAAGTAGATAAAGTGGGAAAGGTCAGTTACAGAGGGATCCAAGAGAACGGGGGTTGGATGACTGATTGTCTAGTTGACTTTGTTGCCTTTAGACAATGAAAGGAGGAGTAAATGGGGACTGCAGAGTTATAGAAGGGACATGAGTGGCTATGTTGCGGAGTCAATTTTAAAAGGGGAGAGATAGGGGAGAGAGAGCATGGTAGGCAGATGAATTTGGGTTTGAGGAGGAAAAAACATAACATGGAAGAGAGAATTTGTCCTAACATGGTTATGTTTTTTTATTCTATCAAATATGCAGTTGTTCAGAAACGTAACAAAGTTGGTGGGATTAGAAATTGGCAGCTTAATGAGGGTGATGGTTCCAAAATTCATCTTTTATCGAAAGAGTTGGGTGTAGCTGATAGTCTAGAAAAAATATTTTTGAGCGGGGCATTTTTTTTTTTTTTTTGTTCTCTTCCAAATGTCATGACCCCTTTTGGGGTCTATATACTGGCTTTGTTTTCGTAACAGTGGACATAATTGTGTTCCATATAATGCAATTACATTTATTTCATAACATTTTTTTTTTCTTCAGCTGGCTTGATTGTTGTGACAATTATATATCGTCATGCGATTATTATGTTTACTTTTCCTAATAGATAGGAGCAAATTCTCTTTTGTTTGGTTAATAGATTCAGCAAATATTCATAATATATTGTTCAATTAAATTGAGCTCATTCAAGCTCAAATTAAAAGTTTTCAGAGAAGTATTTGGTTTATTAGGATTAGGTGGATGTTCCATGCAATGCAAGTTATATACCTATTCACTGTCTCGTCCACATGGTAGAGTTTTTGGTGGCATGACATGTATCACACCTTCACTCGAATGCTAAAAATGTTGTGTGTATTACATGACTCCTTTGCAGTGGGAGTGATTTCTCCTCTCTCATGGATATAATTAGAGTTGAGAGAAGGCTTAAGTTATGAGATGTTATGCGGTCATCAGATCATTATTAATGCATCACATAGATCTACAATCTATCATGCCTTGTGCCTAACAGCCTAAGGCTCATCTTAAGGTTCAA